ACCATCTAGGTAGGTTAGCTATATTACTTGCACTAACCCTGACCCTTACACTTACCATCTAGGTAGGTTAGCTATATTACTTGCACTAACCCTGACCCTTACACTTACCATCTAGGTAGGTTAGCTATATTACTTGCACTAACCCTGACCCTTACACTTACCATCTAGGTAGGTTAGCTATATTACTTGCACTAACCCTGACCCTTACACTTACCATCTAGGTAGGTTAGCTATATTACTTGCACTAACCCTGACCCTTACACTTACCATCTAGGTAGAGTTGTTAGCTATATTACTTGCACTAACCCTGACCCTTACACTTACCATCTAGGTAGGTTAGCTATATTACTTGCACTAACCCTGACCCTTACACTTACCATTTAGGTAGGTTAGCTATATAACTTGCACTAACCCTGACCCTTACACTTACCATCTAGGTAGGAGTTGTTAGCTATATTACTTGCACTAACCCTGACCCTTACACTTACCATCTAGGTAGGTTAGCTATATTACTTGCACTAACCCTGACCCTTACACTTACCATCTAGGTAGGTTAGCTATATTACTTGCACTAACCCTGACCCTTACACTTACCATCTAGGTAGGTTAGCTATATTACTTGCACTAACCCTGACCCTTACACTTACCATCTAGGTAGGAGTTGTTAGCTATATTACTTGCACTAACCCTGACCCTTACACTTACCATCTAGGTAGGTTAGCTATATTACTTACACTAACCCTGACCCTTACACTTACCATCTAGGTAGGTTAGCTATATTACTTGCACTAACCCTGACCCTTACACTTACCATTTAGGTAGGTTAGCTATATTACTTGCACTAACCCTGACCCTTACACTTACCATCTAGGTAGGTTAGCTATATTACTTGCACTAACCCTGACCCTTACACTTACCATCTAGGTAGGTTAGCTATATTACTTGCACTAACCCTGACCCTTACACTTACCATCTAGGTAGGTTAGCTATATTACTTGCACTAACCCTGACCCTTACACTTACCATCTAGGTAGGAGTTGTTAGCTATATTACTTGCACTAACCCTGACCCTTACACTTACCATCTAGGTAGGTTAGCTATATACTTGCACTAACCCTGACCCTTACACTTACCATCTAGGTAGGTTAGCTATATTACTTGCACTAACCCTGACCCTTACACTTACCATCTAGGTAGGAGTTGTTAGCTATATTACTTACACTAACCCTGACCCTTACACTTACCATCTAGGTAGGTTAGCTATATTACTTGCACTAACCCTGACCCTTACACTTACCATCTAGGTAGGTTAGCTATATAACTTGCACTAACCCTGACCCTTACACTTACCATCTAGGTAGGAGTTAGCTATATTACTTGCACTAACCCTGACCCTTACACTTACCATCTAGGTAGGTTAGCTATATTACTTGCACTAACCCTGACCCTTACACTTACCATCTAGGTAGGTTAGCTATATTACTTGCACTAACCCTGACCCTTACACTTACCATCTAGGTAGGTTAGCTATATTACTTGCACTAACCCTGACCCTTACACTTACCATCTAGGTAGGTTAGCTATATTACTTGCACTAACCCTGACCCTTACACTTACCATCTAGGTAGGTTAGCTATATTACTTACACTAACCCTGACCCTTACACTTACCATCTAGGTAGGTTAGCTATATTACTTGCACTAACCCTGACCCTTACACTTACCATCTAGGTAGGTTAGCTATATTACTTGCACTAACCCTGACCCTTACACTTACCATCTAGGTAGGTTAGCTATATTACTTGCACTAACCCTGACCCTTACACTTACCATCTAGGTAGGTTAGCTATATTACTTGCACAAACCCTGACCCTTACACTTACCATCTAGGTAGGTTAGCTATATTACTTGCACTAACCCTGACCCTTACACTTACCATCTAGGTAGGAGTGTTAGCTATATTACTTGCACTAACCCTGACCCTTACACTTACCATCTAGGTAGGTTAGCTATATTACTTGCACTAACCCTGACCCTTACACTTACCATCTAGGTAGGTTAGCTATATAACTTGCACTAACCCTGACCCTTACACTTACCATCTAGGTAGGAGTTGTTAGCTATATTACTTGCACTAACCCTGACCCTTACACTTACCATTTAGGTAGGTTAGCTATATAACTTGCACTAACCCTGACCCTTACACTTACCATCTAGGTAGGAGTTGTTAGCTATATTACTTGCACTAACCCTGACCCTTACACTTACCATTTAGGTAGGTTAGCTATATTACTTGCACTAACCCTGACCCTTACACTTACCATCTAGGTAGGTTAGCTATATTACTTGCACTAACCCTGACCCTTACACTTACCATTTAGGTAGGTTAGCTATATTACTTGCACTAACCCTGACCCTTACACTTACCATTTAGGTAGGTTAGCTATATAACTTGCACTAACCCTGACCCTTACACTTACCATCTAGGTAGGTTAGCTATATTACTTGCACTAACCCTGACCCTTACACTTACCATCTAGGTAGGAGTTGTTAGCTATATTACTTGCACTAACCCTGACCCTTACACTTACCATCTAGGTAGGTTAGCTATATTACTTGCACTAACCCTGACCCTTACACTTACCATCTAGGTAGGTTAGCTATATTACTTGCACTAACCCTGACCCTTACACTTACCATTTAGGTAGGTTAGCTATATTACTTGCACTAACCCTGACCCTTACACTTACCATCTAGGTAGGTTAGCTATATTACTTGCACTAACCCTGACCCTTACACTTACCATCTAGGTAGGTTAGCTATATTACTTGCACTAACCCTGACCCTTACACTTACCATCTAGGTAGGTTAGCTATATTACTTGCACTAACCCTGACCCTTACACTTACCATCTAGGTAGAGTGTTAGCTATATTACTTGCACTAACCCTGACCCTTACACTTACCATCTAGGTAGGTTAGCTATATTACTTGCACTAACCCTGACCCTTACACTTACCATCTAGGTAGGTTAGCTATATTACTTGCACTAACCCTGACCCTTACACTTACCATCTAGGTAGGTTAGCTATATTACTTGCACTAACCCTGACCCTTACACTTACCATCTAGGTAGGTTAGCTATATTACTTGCACTAACCCTGACCCTTACACTTACCATCTAGGTAGGTTAGCTATATTACTTGCACTAACCCTGACCCTTACACTTACCATCTAGGTAGGAGTTGTTAGCTATATTACTTGCACTAACCCTGACCCTTACACTTACCATCTAGGTAGGTTAGCTATATTACTTGCACTAACCCTGACCCTTACACTTACCATCTAGGTAGGTTAGCTATATAACTTGCACTAACCCTGACCCTTACACTTACCATCTAGGTAGGTTAGCTATATTACTTGCACTAACCCTGACCCTTACACTTACCATCTAGGTAGGTTAGCTATATTACTTGCACTAACCCTGACCCTTACACTTACCATCTAGGTAGGTTAGCTATATAACTTGCACTAACCCTGACCCTTACACTTACCATCTAGGTAGGTTAGCTATATTACTTGCACTAACCCTGACCCTTACACTTACCATCTAGGTAGGTTAGCTATATTACTTACACTAACCCTGACCCTTACACTTACCATCTAGGTAGGTTAGCTATATTACTTGCACTAACCCTGACCCTTACACTTACCATCTAGGTAGGTTAGCTATATTACTTGCACTAACCCTGACCCTTACACTTACCATCTAGGTAGGAGTTGTTAGCTATATTACTTGCACTAACCCTGACCCTTACACTTACCATCTAGGTAGGTTAGCTATATTACTTGCACTAACCCTGACCCTTACACTTACCATCTAGGTAGGTTAGCTATATTACTTGCACTAACCCTGACCCTTACACTTACCATCTAGGTAGAGTGTTAGCTATATTACTTGCACTAACCCTGACCCTTACACTTACCATTTAGGTAGGTTAGCTATATTACTTGCACTAACCCTGACCCTTACACTTACCATCTAGGTAGGTTAGCTATATTACTTGCACTAACCCTGACCCTTACACTTACCATTTAGGTAGGTTAGCTATATTACTTGCACTAACCCTGACCCTTACACTTACCATCTAGGTAGGTTAGCTATATTACTTGCACTAACCCTGACCCTTACACTTACCATCTAGGTAGGTTAGCTATATTACTTGCACTAACCCTGACCCTTACACTTACCATCTAGGTAGGAGTTGTTAGCTATATTACTTGCACTAACCCTGACCCTTACACTTACCATCTAGGTAGGTTAGCTATATAACTTGCACTAACCCTGACCCTTACACTTACCATCTAGGTAGGTTAGCTATATTACTTGCACTAACCCTGACCCTTACACTTACCATCTAGGTAGGTTAGCTATATTACTTACACTAACCCTGACCCTTACACTTACCATCTAGGTAGGAGTTGTTAGCTATATAACTTGCACTAACCCTGACCCTTACACTTACCATCTAGGTAGGTTAGCTATATTACTTGCACTAACCCTGACCCTTACACTTACCATCTAGGTAGGTTAGCTATATTACTTGCACTAACCCTGACCCTTACACTTACCATCTAGGTAGGTTAGCTATATTACTTGCACTAACCCTGACCCTTACACTTACCATCTAGGTAGGTTAGCTATATTACTTGCACTAACCCTGACCCTTACACTTACCATCTAGGTAGGTTAGCTATATTTATGAGGTGTAAATTTGCAGTGCTCACCCACTTCATTTCTCGGGGTTACATTCAGATTTATCATAAGTTTCGGTGACGATTGTTTGTTTTGAAGGGAGATCCAATCACGCATGGCTGATGATCGTATAGTATGAGAAGGGCGGAAATTATAACTTAGGTTTCTATAAGAATCCGATAGTAACTGACTTGCAATTTTAATCACAGTTAATGATATATTATTTATTTTTACATCAAACTTCAGATGCAATCTCTAATACAATGAACAAAGAGTCAAATTCGTGCAGTGTCATATTCGACAGACTTATTTCGGCTAAGCACCATTTCTACCAGGTACTGCATTTGTTACATTTCGCTCAATCTTCGTATTAAAATTCTTCTAAGAAAGATTTGACAACATTGAGTTTTTTTGTAGAGTGTGATCACAGACCCGAAGTTAGTTTTCCGAATGTAACAACTAACAAGTACCACACCCCAGCTGAAGATAGTAGAATGTGGGGCTGACTCAGCAGTAGGGGTCGGTTTAGCAGACAGGTCTCATGAACCCAGCAAGTTTCCCGGTTGGAAGAAAAAGTCTTGTGGTTATCATTCTGATGATGGTATACTGTACAAGAAAGGACATCACAATAAAGGTGTGTTAAGCTACTTGCTATATATAGTAGCGTTATTTGAAGGGTAATAAACCATTTACAATCATTGATGAAATTATGAAATTAGAACTTAGAAGTGCATAATTGCAAAAATGAGCATTTATTTATTAATTAATGTATTTGCAAAACGATCATTGTTGAACGAACGGACAAACCCGCTTAAATGGCTATGAAATGACTCTTCTTAATCATTTTCACAATGATACAGTGATGAAAGAGAAGAAGCTCCTCATAATTCTTATTTGCGTTTCGCAACCTCAAACTGGTCGTGTGTAAATTGCCAGCGTCACAAAATTTCTGGAAGTTTGCGTAGCGCGCGACGCACACAGATGAGAACTTAACGCGCTAAGCTATATCACGTGACCAAGCAAAATATTTAGTTACCTTACAAGACATTTTTGTGGCGGACCAATTTGCGACGACCGAAATTTTGGCGGTCCGAAAATATGGCGAAATTGAACAAAAACCGTCACATTTCGGACGTTATAGAAAATAAGGGTATTTTTCATCATTTTGTTTTCTGACACAAAGGAAATTCAAATTTTTCTAAAAATCGGTAAAATCATGTTGAAACAAAATGAAACTTATAAATCGATTTCTTCATCTTCCTCTAAGGGGTCCGGCTCGACTCTTTCAGTTTCACTTATTGAGTTTGGTATTAAATTGTTTATCTTGACTTAGTCTCTTATAAGACGTTTATGTTAGCACATAAATGTAATTTATTGTAAATTTAAAACGTATTATTTGACATTAAATTCATCATGGAATTTTGTGTTTATTTGTCCCACCATCATATCACTAACTTTTCAAGAACAAAACGAATCGATGAAGCCACAATTATTGGAATAAGCTAAAAATAATGCGACGGATTCTATTACGACGACCGAAATTTTGGCGGTCCGAAAATATGGCGAAATTTCGGGAAAACCGTCGCATTTCGTACGTTATGAAAACGTCTTGTAAGGTATCTGACGTTTTTGATCGAACTGATTAACAAATATGAAATACAGTGCTCAATATGCATCTTTAAACAATGATTTCAGTGATGCCAACCTGTGCCGTGGGGGACGTAATGGGTTGCGGTATTCGGTTTCCTGATCGTGACATAGTTAACATACCAAGAGGCAATGGCGACGCTTCAAAAGGAGAAACGGTGAGTTTTTAAATCTAATCTTCCTTGAATCCTTGTTGTATACGGTAAAGGTGGGCCACAACAATTTAGATTGATTGAGAAAAAGTGTGTGCGATATTGAGATGAAAATTACGAAAATTGTTTAGTTTTTTAATCTTTTTGCTTCGTGACTGTTTCTTTTGACCACTTTCTCTTATGATAATTTATGACGTGTTTATCTTTTCACGTATTCCCAAAGTATATTAATAACACCTAGTAACACCTAGGTGACGGTTTACTTCACAAAAAACTCGTTAGAAGTCGGCGACGTTTCTATGACGATACCTGAAGGAGGACTCTTTCCTACAATCGGACTCAGTGAGGGTGACCGAGTGACTGTAGACTTCGCTGCTGCCTCCGGATAGAAGCGTCACGTGGTGTGACGTCACTTTCGAATATGGGAAATAGATTTTATACCTATTGGATGTGTTTTAATTTGTTTTATCATATCTTATATTCATTTAGATGTAGTAGTCTGTGGACTGGGGTAGTCCTCTTTTATTCCACAACTTATATTGATGTTTTGGATGGAGTTATGAAGTAAATGTTCAGCCCAAACATTTCGTACTTTTATTTCAATTCACTGAATAAAAGCCTTGTTTTTTCCAGCTGTCACTTTATTCTACATGTTTTGCTGACTATTTTGTAACGTTTTTATATTTCATCTTATTTTTGTTCGATTACAATTTTATAATTCATTTGTTTTCATTATGTTTAAAATCAAGCATGTCCGCCGCGATAACGTAGCATCGTACCATTATTATGTTGATTTACGGACCAGAAAGGAATCGCAACAAAATGATACAGTATTTTATTTTATTGATATTAAATTTAAGTTAAATTCGACTCATCAATTCTAAGCTACTTAATTTTCAAATTGGTGTTGAAATTCTCGTTCTACTTGTTTTTATCATAGATAATTTACTAATAAGTTCATTTCGAGTCAGCTTTGTTACAATCTTCTAATCTGTGATTGATATATTACTCTTGCAATGTTGTTCTTTGCCCAAGAGTTCACCGTCGGCGTATACCTCACAGCTCATACACTCGAAGTCAACTCCTTTCATATTTGGAAGTCTGGCTTGTGCCACGAATTTTCCTTTTTTCACCTTGTATTTGGTCTGGAGATCCATTACTTTATCGTCCATCATCCAGCTCACTGTCAGTCTTTCAAAGGTGGCGCCCAATTTGATGTAGTGCTCCTCTTTTTCAGCCCAAGCTCTGCAGGTGACCATCTTTCTGGATTTTCCCATAGAAACATCCACACTCAACACAGCAGTCTGAAAACACTGGATAGCCAATCTATCGAAATCGAAACATTGAGCCCTCATTCCCATTGCTTCTGTTGCATCTTCATAACGCATTACGTCACAGTTATCGCTTATCACTAGTGTATCATCATGCGTGCAACCAAACTTTGTCCAGCCGAAATCGTAATCTCTGTTGCTTTCAGTTAACATTTTAGTGTTAGCTTGTATCTTAGATCCGTGTTCGAAACCATACCATACATCCTGAATACAATCCCAATCTTCGCACTCTTTTTCTTTTTGATAAGCGATCTGTCGGCATACTGCGCCTGCAGCATAGTCGTTAAAACCATCATTACAAGCTGCTTCCCACTCGCCTACATATTTAGCACCTGCTGAAACTGGTCTGGCAAGTACTATTCCTCCAAATGTATTCCCGTTCCTGTCTACAAGACTTTTATCGTCACCGTTGTCAAGTTTAAACTCTAGACGATAGAAGTCCCAACTGGGCACACATTTTGGTAACTCGTATGTGCCATCTCTACGACACCATCCCCAGGATCCCCACATTGTTTCCTGTATCACGTGATCTTCATCACACTCGTATCTTGCTGCCCACGGCATCATTTTTATCAACTCTTTTTTCTCTTCTTCCATTTGCTCCATCTGCTCGTATTCGTCATTATACCTCTTTCGTGCCATTTGTTCATGTACTTGTGCGACGTGTTGCTGTTCTTGATTTCTTGAACACCTTGCGACACGGTTGAGATATATGTTCTTTTCGACAAACCAATTCTGCAGTATGTCGAGCGTGACATCTTCTTGTAATCTGCTGCTTATCGCCACGACCTCCTCGCAATCTTCATTTTCTGTTTCATTGTATGTCATGGAATCCATGAATTTCCCCTCGAAGTACGTTGCTTTACCGTTTTCTATGTAAGTAGGTAAGCCACAATGTCCTGCTTCACCTCGTGGAGTACACGATGGTATATAGGCTTTTCCTTCGTAACACACCCCATTATGGGACAGGTCCTTGTAAGCTTGTTGAACGTTTGGTTTCTCCATATCTTCCAAGTATCCCATAAAGGCCTCCATGTTGGGGGTCATAACGAATTGTGGATAACATGCGTATCTAGCATATCTTTCAAGGTTATAGAAACCTTCACTTTCTTTAAATCCACCAGAGATGTACTTGGGGTAATGGCACATTTGAGGACAGTTTTCATCTTTGCTGTCACAAGTGTCTATGTCACAACTTGAAATTGTAACTGTAACATCCGGAGACATGCCTGAATCCAAATCTAATTCTTGTGTTACTAAAGACTGAAGGTCGGTACACGTCATTTCTTCTAACACACATTCTTTCACGATAAGTCCAATATTGTTGAGCGCCATGAATTCGGTAATATTTTCGGGGTTTGAGATATTCAGCGACATCATTATCTTTGCAGTCCCACATGACGCAGCACATTTTACTTCTGCTGGTTCAGAGCAGAGACTCATGCCAACTATACTACCATTGAAAGAAGACATGTCCATTACATCAGTTAGCTGTATTGTCATATTCTCGAAAGTCATTGTCGCTTGACTAAAGTCCATTTGACCGCACGATGGACATACGCCGCTCTCGTTCTGATCAGTGTTATCATCTGGGTTCTGATCAGTGTTATCATCTGGGTTCTGATCAGTGTTGTCATCTGGGTTCTGATCAGTGTTATCATCTGGGTTCTGATCAGTGTTATCATCTGGGTTCTGATCGGTGTTATCATCTGGGTTCTGATCGGTGTTATCATCTGGGTTCTGATCAGTGTTATCATCTGGGTTCTGATCAGTGTTATCATCTGGGTTCTGATCAGTGTTATCATCTGGGTTCTGATCAGTGTTGTCATCTGGGTTCTGATCAGTGTTATCATCTGGGTTCTGATCAGTGTTATCATCTGGGTTCTGATCAGTGTTATCATCTGGGTTCTGATCGGTGTTATCATCTGGGTTCTGATCAGTGTTATCATCTGGGTTCTGGTCGGTGTTATCATCTGGGTTCTGATCAGTGTTATCATCTGGGTTCTGATCAGTGTTATCATCTGGGTTCTGATCGGTGTTATCATCTGGGTTCTGATCAGTGTTATCATCTGGGTTCTGATCAGTGTTATCATCTGGGTTCTGATCAGTGTTATCATCTGGGTTCTGATCGGTGTTATCATCTGGGTTCTGATCGGTGTTATCATCTGGGTTCTGATCAGTGTTATCATCTGGGTTCTGATCAGTGTTATCATCTGGGTTCTGATCGGTGTTATCATCTGGGTTCTGATCAGTGTTATCATCTGGGTTCTGATCAGTGTTGTCATCTGGGTTCTGATCAGTGTTATCATCTGGGTTCTGATCGGTGTTATCATCTGGGTTCTGATCGGTGTTATCATCTGGGTTCTGATCAGTGTTATCATCTGGGTTCTGATCGGTGTTATCATCTGGGTTCTGATCGGTGTTATCATCTGGGTTCTGATCAGTGTTATCATCTGGGTTCTGATCGGTGTTATCATCTGGGTTCTGATCAGTGTTATCATCTGGGTTCTGATCAGTGTTATCATCTGGGTTCTGATCAGTGTTATCATCTGGGTTCTGATCAGTGTTATCATCTGGGTTCTGATCGGTGTTATCATCTGGGTTCTGATCAGTGTTATCATCTGGGTTCTGATCAGTGTTGTCATCTGGGTTCTGATCAGTGTTGTCATCTGGGTTCTGATCAGTGTTATCATCTGGGTTCTGATCAGTGTTATCATCTGGGTTCTGATCAGTGTTATCATCTGGGTTCTGATCGGTGTTATCATCTGGGTTCTGATCAGTGTTATCATCTGGGTTCTGATCGGTGTTATCATCTGGGTTCTGATCAGTGTTATCATCTGGGTTCTGATCAGTGTTATCATCTGGGTTCTGATCAGTGTTATCATCTGGGTTCTGATCAGTGTTATCATCTGGGTTCTGATCGGTGTTATCATCTGGGTTCTGATCAGTGTTATCATCTGGGTTCTGATCAGTGTTATCATCTGGGTTCTGATCGGTGTTATCATCTGGGTTCTGATCGGTGTTATCATCTGGGTTCTGATCAGTGTTATCATCTGGGTTCTGATCAGTGTTATCATCTGGGTTCTGATCAGTGTTATCATCTGGGTTCTGATCAGTGTTATCATCTGGGTTCTTATCAGTGTTATCATCTGGGTTCTGATCGGTGTTATCATCTGGGTTCTGATCAGTGTTATCATCTGGGTTCTGATCGGTGTTATCATCTGGGTTCTGATCAGTGTTATCATCTGGGTTCTGATCGGTGTTATCATCTGGGTTCTGATCAGTGTTATCATCTGGGTTCTGATCAGTGTTATCATCTGGGTTCTGATCGGTGTTATCATCTGGGTTCTGATCAGTGTTATCATCTGGGTTCTGATCAGTGTTATCATCTGGGTTCTGATCGGTGTTATCATCTGGGTTCTGATCAGTGTTATCATCTGGGTTCTGATCAGTGTTATCATCTGGGTTCTGATCAGTGTTATCATCTGGGTTCTGATCAGTGTTATCATCTGGGTTCTGATCGGTGTTATCATCTGGGTTCTGATCGGTGTTATCATCTGGGTTCTGATCAGTGTTGTCATCTGGGTTCTGATCGGTGGTTTCTCTTTCAGCTGATACTGTCCAGCCCAAGGTGGCGATCGCTGAAATTATTTAACGTATTAAAAGTAAAACAAGGAATGCTCGATTGACACTCAAACAGAAAAATAGTTCGTTAAATTAAGAAAGATTTATCTTACGTGAGACTTGGTCGATCAGGAAAAGCCTTGTGTTATATTGAGGTTGGACAAATAAGAAACTACCACGATTTTCGTTTTAATAATAATAGGATTGTTATCTAAAATAAATCCTTTGTTAAATACTCTCTTAACAAACTTACCCAGTAATAACAAAAACACCCGCATGTCGCCTGTTGTTGTACTCTTTTAATAGAATATCTAAAATATGATAAGATTTTAGTATTCAAAATGTTTATTACATCGATCATAAACCAATCCTTGTTTACAGCAATTAGAAATTAAACGAAATAATTTCTACACAGTAGTGAGGTTTTAATTGAAAAAAAAACGGGCTCACAAATCTCCAAGAAGACTAAATTAGTTAAATAGTCAATCCTAATAAAATGGAACAGTCAAAAGTCGGAAATGCGACCACAATTGTATCAGGAATACCTAAATTATTGCTTATGAATACAACAATATTATACAAATTATCATGTGACTGATTTTTTATAGATAGAAATATGTATTAAAAGGATTCCACATCAAAATAATAGTGAAATAGTGAAAATAGGAAAGTACAGATTAGGAAAAACCAAAATAACAATTTGTATAGATGAACAATACTTGGATCAAGATGATTTATATCAAGAATATGATATAACAGTGTAAAAGGAAACAGTATAGATCATTTGTTGAAATCCGAATAAGAAGATTACTTTGTTTAATCTAAGTCATCGTCACGATTAACTCATTAAATCTCTTAGTTCAACATTCTATTGATCCTATATTAAATAATATGCTCCAAATTCATAACTGAAACTGGCGGCTGATATACCAGGTGCTACGGAATTGGATCAGTTTGAATAGATTAATAATTAGAAATTATTGTACTTATAGTCTTCAACAACT